AATAAAAGTAAAATATTTTTGTGCCGGAGATATAAGTTTGACGCAATTTTCTTTTTCAATTGAAAAAAAAACTGCACAACTTCAATTGGTGTTTTGATTTGTGTTTTTTTTTTTTTTTTTTTTTTTTTTTTTTTTTTTTTTTCTTTTTTTTGAGGGGGTCCAGCGTCACCATTTATATAAAATGACAATATGCCATGTAAACAGGTATAGACCTAAAGGACCATGAATAGTGATGTGTATTAAAGCTTATATGTGTTCCAGCAGGGAGTTACGCCACTTCTGGTATAATTTACGGCCATAAAAAAATATTAAGTAAATATGCATTTAAGAGGAACCAACGGGGACATCTTATGTTCACTTTAACAGCCCCACAAACATAAAGTGAAATTAAAGTTCATGTCTCTTTAAGGATGCGAGTCCGTCCATAAGATTAGACTAATTAATTATTAATAACAGGTGCGCTAAACACAGAGTAAGGGGGAGGAATGAACCAATGAGATCACAGCACGCGGCCTTACAGTGAGTGGCGGCAATTAAGGGAATTAATACGCAGCTGCAACCCGTTTAACCTGTAAAAATGTATAAAACAATACTGTTCCTGAGAATATAAGAAGGCTTTCAAACGAAGGGAAGAAATTGAAGTAAGTCGAATTTGACTTCAGTTTTCTTTTACTTTTAAACTCTAAATTATCTCTTTATATACTAATAAATGCGTTATGTAGAGAGTTAGGGACGGGACAAATAAGCCAGCTGCAAACAGCGCTATAGAGCATTATCTAGCGGTACTACTAATATAAAATAATAATAATAATTCAGTTTTACTCTGTATTTCACTTCCATGCACAGTCGCAATTTATACTAGAAAAATGCAAACAAACGAGCCTACATTTAGGTCCTAATATCGGTAAAATATTATTTTCCAAACCTTAATTGTAATATTTGGGTGTAAATATAAGCGCGTGCCCCTTTAAGACTCTGAGGTCAAAGCCATTAAAGGTCTATACTGTATAGTACCAACTGTAAGGGAACTAAGCAGTAAAAGTTAAATAATAAAGAACACAAAAACACAATAAAATAGAAGCTATATGTGTTTTTATCTCGTCGATAAATAGCTTGTTGTGCGTCTAATGGCGCAGACTGACTCTATGCACCCGCCGCTCTGTTTCAAATGCAGAAAGTCGCTTTTCTCCAAATATTAGGAATGACAGCAAAGGAGGAAAAGGTGAAACTAAATGAGTCTGATGATCACTGGGTGACTGCGCTTTATACAAATCAGCCGAGAAATGTCTAATACTAAGGCACGCATAGTATCATATACAAAACATACTTATTTAAATAATAAAATGTTCAATTTGACTTTAATTAGCCCGATAAGATATTGCAAAATGTCAAATTTAGTATAACACACTGTGTGTAAAACATTACACACAATCACCTAATAAAAACAAGATTATTTGAAGCATTAAAACTCAAAGACTACTAGAAAATAAAGCAATATGTGGAATATAAATGTTTAGTTATATATTTGGTTTAAATCATCTATACATTAGTAATCACGGGCATGCGGGTTGGATTAGATTAGATCCAAATAAGTTTGAGCACTTTTTATTAAAATAAACTTCATTATATAGAATAAACCTATATTGTTTTGGCCTACACACACATCTATACATATATATTTTTTCTCATTGATCTCTAGTTTTTTTTTTGCTTTCTTTTTTTTTTTTAAGAAAATGATTTTTCATTTATATATAAATGATTTTAGGTGCATCTAAAACCAAATATTTAAAGAATATATTAATTATTACTAATAAATGAAAGGGAAAACCGAGCAAGAGCAGCCATCTTTAGTATAAGTTAATTATAATGAAAATGCTATTATTCATGTAAGGGTTTGTATCATAGCATAATATTTTTTTCATATTTTAGATTATTCTTACTTTTTTCAGTTTATTATATTATATAGAGATTTAAAAAATATATATATAACTAAATCCATCTCGCAAGGAGTGTAAATAAAGCTGATGCAAGAATAAGATAAATATTTTAAATGAACTTATCCTGTATTTTTTTTATTTTCCCAATGATGTGTCTGTTACATAATCCATAACATAGACCAATGTTTTTTTTATGTTTAATAGTCTCTTACAAGCTTGTTGTTTAAATCTATTGATTAATTTTCCCTGCATAAAGAATCTCAGGAAAGAAAACCATTTATTTAAGAAAGAAAATAAACATAAACACTTTTGCAGCCTGGAGGTTAATGCATTTTTTAAAATATATATAAATAAAGTGAAAGCTCCTGCTCGGTGTATTTCGGGGACTACTAGCGCCTTACCAGATGAGGGCCGGTCCGAGTAGCGCGTACAGTAAACCCAGGCGGGCCACAGCAGCGGCTGGCTCTCCTTGGTTCCAGGCGGAGAGCCTCCATTGCTGCCGCTCATGACCATTATCGACGACGGACTGTCCGCGTATCTGCCGCCCCCGTTGCCGGTAGCCTCCCCCGGCTTGGACGAGCTCTGCTTGGACGCGGGCGACGAAGACGTGGAAGAGGAGGAGGAGGGCGAGGAGGAGGCGCTGTCGCTGCTGCAGTTGGAGTCCAGGCAGAGGCTGCCGGCGTGCGGCGGCCTCGCTCCCAGCGGGTTCACGTTCTCCCTGCCCGGCGTCTGGCTCCGCTCGCGGTAGCTGGGCTCCTTCCTGCAGCCGAAGTCCGGTCGGAGGATGTTGTCGATGAAAAAGTTGGTGGTTCTGTGGGCCTGCTGCGCGGCCGGATGGGGGATGATCATGGCAGGGGATGGCAGGTTCGGCGAAAGGGACATGCTGTCGTCCTCGGTTGAGTCCCGGCCGCTGCTGGGCTCCTTGTGCTCTTCCATAACAACTGGTGATGGTGAGAAATCAGCCTCTCCACACCAGGTCCCACTTGTTGCTCGCGCTCTCTTCGGTATCCAGTTCAATACAACAACAAAAAAACAAGCTTTTCTCATAGAACAAACGCCTGACTTCTATTATAGCATCAACTGCAGCGGCAGCATGTCTCCTAATGACCTCCCGATGCTTGGCATAACCATCAGCTCCACAACACCCAGTGCCTGCGCCTCTCCACGTTGCAGCATAATATCTCTGTTTTCTCTCCTCAAACTCTCCTAAAACCAGATCCCCCCCCCCGGTCCAAATCCCGTGTGCTACTCGGCAGTGTTACACCCAGTGCGCGCGCACACGTGCAACGCACCAATCAGATGCACGGATCGTCTCTGTCACGGCTTACGACGGCCAATAAGCGACCGGAACGCTTTCCTCAATAACGGCACGCGCGCGACGGTGATCGATATTGAGGAAGCGCACGTGCACGCGAATGTACACAGCAAAACAAAAACAAGAGGGGGCAGCCACCATAATAAATGGAACAAAGAGAGGAAAAGAGCTTTGGTTTTGAACACACCTCAGAGTATTTGAGCTTCAACTGTTCACGTGACGTTTTAGTCATTATTTTAGTCCATAACTCCGTAATTGACCCACACGCTCACCTGCGTTTCTTAAATTTCTCTAGATATCAGCAGTAAACCACCTAAATGCAAAAATAAATCCAAGCATTTTAATTTTAGAACTAGAGAAATGTTTTAAATAAAAAATAAAGAATGAAATGCACAATTTTGTATTCGTTCAGTGTTTATTTTTACAATTTTTACAGCTAAACATTCATGAAAGAATTTTAAACCTCCTTTATTTTCCACCTCTTGCATTCATTGTCTTTATTAGATATCATTTAGAAAAAAATAATGAAAATAAAAAAAAATGTTTTAGTTTATAAAAATAACAGCAACCCATATGTATTTTATTATAATTATTTAATTAATGTAAAACAGAACAGTAGCCTTTAGGTTCTAGTTATTCATTTATTTATTTTTTTTTTGCCCCTGTGCTATAATATACCTGTATGCCATTTTTACAAAACACTATTTTAAGTAATTATCCTTATTCTCACTCTATATCTGGCTGAACGGTTTACAAATACTCTGAAACATATCACTATTACTGGTTTGACCACGCGGGTTCTAATCCCTCCAGCTTTCAGCAGAATTGTCGGATCATTCAATGCAAACATGAATGGATCAGGAGCGTCTAAGGAGTTCAGAAAATAATAAGAAAAAATTTGATAAAATTGTACGAGAGATTTGAACATTACCATCATATTTATAATAAATAGTGAAATGCCAAATAAAATAATAGGAAGTGGGTTTAAGTTTTTTTTTGTTTGTTTGTTTACAATGCGCAGTCCAGCATTAAAATAAATAATTAAACAGAATTCTGATATATTGTCCTTTATAAATACATACAGGTAAATTATAAGGTTGTATTCCTTTAACCTGGTTGCTCCCATTTCTCAATTACTCCCCATTTCCTGCAGCCCTACTGGTGTTATGACAGCTCCCAGCTCTCCTACTGAGCAACCTGTCATAGAGCTCTTCTCCTTTTGCTCTTTAACTCTTGTTTTGTGCTCCGGAAGAGAAACCCCAGCTAGTGCAAACCAAACCACTTCTGATTCTGTTTACCACTTGGAAGCATGGAGATGCGCACAGTATTCATCATTACGCGGACTGAAACCATGCGCACGAGCTGGGTCTGAAATGCAGTTAAATCTCTATCATATTAATAAAAATGGCCATCAAGCAGTGCAATTAGTGAGTTGAAATAATAATGATAATATTTCTAATCATAATGGCGACAGGAGGAAAGTGGGGACGTGTTGATGGTTAACTATGTAAAAACGTCATCCCACAGGCCGGACTGGGAAGCCTTGGCTACTTAATTAAATTCCAATTAGGACAGCATCCATGCGCTGCGCCTTTGTGGCTAAATGAGCTGCTCTTATCTGGCGCCGCAAAGAGGGCTCTGCATGAGAGGGGCCACGGAAGATAATTTATAGCTTTTAATTAGTCTTTCCTCCGCCCGGTCCGCTCGGTGCTCATCACGGGGAGCGGCCTGAATAAAACCCGAGTCACAAAGCGCTGTCACCGCCGCCTGGCAGGGCCCTTCATCAAAGTGAAGCAGGGGCCGCGCTACAAGCCACGTAATTTCCAAGGTGCTGATAAAGCTTGTTGAATAATAGCGGGGGCCCTCAGAGACACCATTTACAGAAATGACTTTATTGACGGCTTAACGTTGGTGATTCATTTTACCTTTCACGAGCTGGGAGCCGGATTTGTCGCCGTAATAGGATGATAAATGCACTGACGGATCGCAGCCGCGCTTTTATTGAGTAGCCCATAAAGTGGAGGTGCTGCAGCGCACGCGCTTAGGCGCACACATTTGCACATACAAGTTCATGATGAACCTCTGGTTGGGAGGCTGCTGTAGAGCTACTGGGACTGATTTTCTTCTTCAAGATTAGTCTGCAAATATAATAACAAATTTGAAATATCTCTGCACAAAACAACAATTTATTGCGTTTGGTGGTGTCAAGTTAAATCTGTTAAATAGCTCAATATTCAGTGCCAAAACAGGGCCAAAAGCGCGCTTTAAAATTATTTTATTTCTTCTTATGTTAACAGCTTTTTGGTTATTATAACGAATAAAACATACTCTCTGCCAAAGTTTTAATATTCAGTTTATATTCTCTCTAAGCGTATTTATGGATTTGAATGTTATCTTTCATTAGATATATCAACTCATACGAATAATAATTTCTTTTCACCGAACTTCAAATTTGCGCGTGAAATTGCGTAAGCTGGTTGTTTAATTTTTAATTTAAATGGTGTTGAGCTGTTTGTTGTTTGGTTTTAATAGGTAAACTGTATTTTTTTTATTATTATTATTTTTGTTGTTTGTCTTATGTTTTTCACTCAAAGTTGCTTGAACACAACCTTTAAACTAAGTAGGAGTTGAAAAGAGACTCCACATGGGTTGCAAGGTAATTTAGCAGAAAGTTGTGGAACAATTTAGATTATTGCGGGCTTTTGCTGCCACCTAGTGGAGAAAAGGCGCAACATACAAATTCTTACCCATGTCCAGAAAAACAGGCAGGATTTGTTTAGGATCTGCTTTTTTTGGATTTCTTATCAAAGTTATTGTATTATTCTTGTCTGTTATGTACGGAAAAGGATTAGGGCCACTGAAAAACAAAAACAAAAAAGTTAACTTATTTAAAAAATTTATTTCACAATAACATGAAAAAAAAGTCAGAATTCTGACTTTAATCACAGAATTCTGTCTTTAATCTCAGAATTCTGACTTTCTGAATCTTTGATCTTAATTCTGAATTTTGGATCTTAATGTAGATGGGCACCATGAAGGAAGAGATGTGGGAGCACTCAGCTTCACTGACAAAGATGTGAGTTGTTTGCGAGGGCCAGTAAACATTGGTGAAAAATTACGGAATTAGGCAACTTTTTGTTTGCCTGAGGGGCCCCCAGTGAGGCTATTTCATTAATGGAAGAGCAGAAGGTGATTAAAACAAGAGAGCTAGTTTAGTCTTTAAAACAGACATATGGCTTGATGCTAACATGTTTGAGCCATCTGAGAAAAAAATCAGAATTCTGAGAAAAAAGTCAGAATTCTGAATTTTTTCCCATATTAAACTGAAATAATATTTAAAAATCCGTAAATTTTTTTTTAATTGCCCTAATCCTCTTCCATAGTTATGTTTGTCTTTGGCTTTCCTTTAATAATTCATTCCTGCCATTTTCCCATGAGCTTTAGTGTTACTGGAAACACATCTTTCTGCTTAAAAATAACCCAAAGGTTGTTGTTGTATAGAGACAATATCTGGACCAAGGTTTATGGCTATAATTCATTTTGGAGTCATTCTAACATATATATTAACCCAATTCCTACTCTGACCATTAATAAGCGTTCCCCATGTTTTAGAGATTAGGATGCGTTTAATCTCTTGGTGTTTAAAAGCCAAATGTAACAGACACAAAGTAAAGCATAAAGACGTTGGCTGCATCAGTAGCAGGGTTTTTTTTTTTGCTTTCAGGCAATGTCAGTGTTAAGATTTTCCTAAAGTGAATAAAAAGGTGCATCAGAATACTGTTTAAGGGAGTCTATAACATATCAGTGACTTTAATCTTGGAGACAATCCGCGTGACTTTAGCACCACCTGCTGTCTGAGTGGACCTAAGTTTTATTTTTTTAAACTAGAGTTTGATAGTAAAGCTCCATTTATGTTGAGATTTTATCTGGAGTTCTTTGTAAATCAAACAAAAACTGATGCTAATCAAATGCATTACTCCAAGTTTTTATTGTCTAGCACATTAAACTTAAAGTTTTCTTTTTGATCCTTTCTTTTACATTTACACACCTGCCTTTGTAATTTGTAATGAATTATATCCAACTATTAATTAGATCTATCATTTCTGATTAGTTTATTTTTAACTTAAATTACATATATTGTGTATATTAAAGTTTCCCAAATGCCTTATCCTTTTTAAAACCTAAAAATATGCACTCAGTTTAATTATTTGTTCAGAGTAATAACCCTTCAGAGTTATCCCCTGGTGCTGAAATCTTAGGCAACTAGATCTTTACTCGGGTTTCCTCACTTCACAACTTTTTTTAGGTGAACAAGAATTTTTGCAAATATGAGCTGGTTTAGTTCAGAAAGACCAGACTGTATCTGCCCCATGTTCTGATGCCAAGTAGATTCTGATTTCTACTGATTACAATTTCAACTTAAAGATGCTCCACAAATCCATTTTAGCAGGTAAAATCAGTGTTGCAGTTGCTTCTTCAGTGAATATGTTTACAATCATTTTATTCACTGTTATAACTGAGCTAATAAAGCTTAAATGAAATCTTAAATCATACCACACAATGTTTTGGGGTGTAACGCTTTATGCTTTTTGCTCAAATTAACAAAAAGCACAGCATAAAGGCAGCGGTCAACTTTATTTAAAAATGTTTTTTAAGCTCGACAGGACTTTCCTGTTTCAATAAATAAAATATAATAATTTGCAGCAGTAAATGTACAAAACATAAACCACAGCCTATCCCTTAACAGACAAGACTAAGAACAAATAACTCGCATCATATGATGATAGCCTTTATTTAAACAGATTAAACCTCACTAAGATCTAAAATCTTGTATTGTGGTGAGATGAGAATTAAGAATTAAGGGTCTATCAGTGCAATTTGTTCCAAATGGAA